CCTGAAGTTTCTTTTCTTGCTGAGTCTCTGCTGGGTTTTGGTATCAGGATGATGTTGGTCTCATAAAATGATTTGGGAAGGATTCCCTCTTTTTGGATTGCTTGGAATAGTTTCAGAAGGAATGGTACCAGCTCCTCTTTGTATGTCTGGTAGAATTAGGCTGTGAACCCGTCTGGACCTGGGCTTTTTTTGTGTGGTAGACTCTTAATTGCTGCCTCAACTTCAGACCTTGTTATTGGTCTATTCAGGGTTTTGACTTCTTCCTGGTTTAGGCTTGAGAGGATGCAAGTGTCCAGGAATGTATCAATTTCTTCCAAGTTTACTAGTTTATGTGCATAGAGTTGTTTGTAATAATCTCTGATGATGGTTTGAATTTTTGTGGAATCTATGGTGATATCCCCTTTATTGTTTTTTATTGCATCTATTTGATTATTCTCTCTTTTCTTTTTTATTAATCTGGCTAGTGGTCTATTTTGTTGATCTTTTTGAAAAACCAGCTCCTGGATTTATTGATGTTTTGAAGGACTTTTTATGTCTCTATCTCCTTCAATTCCACTCTGATCTTAGTTACTTCTTGTCTTCTGCTAGGTTTTGAGTTTTTTTGATCTTGCTCCTCTAGCTCTTTCAATTTTCATGATAGGGTGACGATTTTAGATCTCTCCTTTCTTCTCATGTGGGCATTTATTGCTATATATTTTCCTCTACAGACTGCTTTAAATGTGTCCCAGAGATTCTCAATGCAAAGAAACTAAGAACCTTGAAAAAATATTTGATGAAATGCTAATGAGAATAAACAACTTAGAAAGGAATATAAGTGAATTGATGTAGCTGAAAAACACAACATGAGAACTTCGCAAAGCATACACAAGTTTCAACAGTCGAATTGACCAAGCAGAAGAAAGGATATCAGAGGTCGATCAATGCAATGAAATAAAATGAGAAGTCAAAATTAGAGAAAAGAGGGTAAAAAGGAATGAACAAAGTCTCCAAGAAATATGGGACTATGTGAAAAGACCTATCTACGTTTGATAGGTGGGTATGAATCTTAAAGCTGTGTTACTGTTCTGCAAACATGTAGCGGTCGGGTGAGGATTTTAGCATCTGCATGCTGGTCAGCATTTTAATTCTGAATTTGGCAAGTGGCAAACAATACCTCATGACAGATAAGTTTCTTAAGGGCCTTCTGCATAAAGAAAAACAAACCTCATAGGACTGTGTCCATTTTGGCATCTCTGAGAGAATAAATATAATCACTAATTGTAGCACAACTTCAGAACAGCTTTTGATCAATTCTCACTGAATGTCATTCATCAGTAACCTTTCCTTTTTTGTTGTTTGTTTTATTTTTGTTTTTGACAGGGTCTTACTCTGTCACCCAGGCTACAGTGCAGTGGTGCCATTTCAGCTCACTGTAGCCTTTGCCTCCTGGGTTCAAGTGATCCTCCCGCCTCAACCCCCAGAGTAGCTGGGACTACATATGTGTGGGTGAGTGCGCACCATCACTCCCGGCTAATTTTTTTTTTTGTAGAGACAGATAGGGTTTTACCAGGTTGCAAAGCAATCTGCCTGCCTCAGCCTCCCAAAGTGCTAGGATTATGGGCATGAGCCACTCACTATGCCCGGCCCCACTTTCCTTCGGGAGTTTTAAAAATTTAGTTTGAGATTTACAGAAAAGCTGCAAAGACAGTACAAAGAGTTCCCATATGCTCCTACTCAATTTCTTATATTATTGACATCTTACACTGTAGTGATACATTTGTCATACCCAAGGAACCAACACTGGAACATTACTGTTAACTAAACTAGACTTCATCTGGATTTCACCAGTTTTTCTATTAACGTTCTCTTTCTGCCCCAGGATCCAATCCAGGGTACCACATGACATTTAGTCATCATCCCTCTCCAGCCTCCTCCACTCTGTGACAGCTCCTCAGTCTTTTCTTATTTGTCATGACATTGACAATCTTTAGGAGTACTGGCCTAGCAACCTGTAGACTTTTGCCTGATTTGAGTTCCTCTGATATTTTCTTGTGGTTACACTGGGTTTATGGGTTTAGAGGAAAAAGAATATCACAGAGACTAAGTGTCCTCACCACATCCTATCCTGGGAACATGATATCAACATGACATCACCACTGATGTTAATCTAGATCACTTGGTTAAGCCATTGGTGATTGCCAGGTTTCTCCACTCAAGTTACCATTTTTCTCTTTAAGGAATTTAACAAAATTAAGTTTAAATCATAGAAGTAATAAATAAATGTCTTATCCTTGTAAAAAAATGAAACATTACCAAAAAGTTAAATTCCCCTTTAACTACTCCCTGTCACCCATCCTGGTCCCCATTCCACCTCCTTACAGGCAAACACTGTTATTACTTTAACCTTTTCAATGCATTTACATGCATATGTATGTCCCCATAAAATATACATATAAGTTTGTGTTTGAGGTTTTTCTATAAATGATATATCGTACTATATGGATACCTTTCTGCAATTTGCTTTTTTCACCCAACAATATGTCTTGGAGCTCCACTGTTCTTTCCAATGGCTGAGTTGCATTTTATTGTATACTACAGATTACACCCCAGCTAGGATCCTCTGGAACCTGTAATTATTAGATCAAGTTACTCATGTTCACAAAAAAAGCACATTTATTAAAATGGCTATTTATAGACATTACATACTGCTATTGACCATTGTATTTTCAAAGATATGGTTTAAATTGGTCAGTGTTGTTTTAACTTCATAGAGTAGTAAAGCAGCAGGAAACACCACATCCAGGTTGCAGTGTCAAGGAGCAGTGCTAGAGCCCTTCCTTTGCCTCTTCCCACTGACCACACCAAGGAGAGAAGGAGAGAGCCATTGTGTTTTTCTGTATGTTACTGCTCCCCTGCATTTCCAGGTCTAATGTAATGTGGTGAGAAGAAGGTGTGCTCGCACAGAAATGGTGGTGTAGACAGTAGCTCCAATGTGCAAGACATTCAGTGAAACATAAGACATTCTTTTTCTGGTTCTTCTCATCAAATTCAATAAAACATTCACTTAAAATTTTTTTTCTGATGACAATAGTGGCATGTGTTTAACACAGAAAATTAGGGAAATATAGAAAAATACAAGAAAGAATTAAAATCACTCCTTATTGTACCACCCAGAATATCAACAGTATTATTAATATTTGATATATATCCTTCTAGTCTTTGTTTCAGTGGATAAACCCATGTAAACAGCAGAGACATTTTGGGTGTGGGGAATATATAACAGACTTACTTTTCCTACTACTCCCACTCCATTTCCCCTGCCAACTTCTCAGATGAAAATGAGATTTGCAATCAGCAGAAATCTCTGAACTGTCTAAATACATGAACTTGGTCATGCTGACAAAGGGTTGCAGGCAGTAAAGGTCAGCAGATTCCCACACCCAGGCAGGGAGAATGAACACAGATGAGGTTGCCCTGCTGCTTACCTGCACTGCCTATGGTACGCTTAAGGGACTATGCTCCTGGGCTTGGTATTTGCTAAGCAGTTTCCTTTTGTGGGATATTGTTGGTCCCTTTTGCTGGAGGATGCTGGGCGCTCTCCTTTTTCTGTTCCAGCTGATCCGTGCTCCCTTCCATTCTTCCAGGCCACCTGTGTGTCCAGCAGTACTTTTGTGGTTTGTTTAGTCAGTTCTTCAAATGTCTTCCACTGTAACTTGACGTCACTTTCTGTCCTGTCCTATGTAATTCTGGGTAATTTTAGAAGCAGCTGAAAGCGTCACAATCCCATCAGAGAAAGGATGTGGCTCAGAGCCTTCCTTCTGGGACCACATCAAGCAGTGCTGAACGGCAACCCGAGAGTGCTACAGGCTGGGAGGCAAAAGGCTCCACTGAACCCTCTCACCCCAAATTCATAAGAACTGTCAAAATTCAGCTACCCTCAGGGTATATGCTTTCCTATAGATTTTAAAAACATAACAGAGATGTTCTTTATTTTGGAATGATGATCTTCTGTTTTAAGGAACAGGAGTGCACATGTGAGTGCACCAAACCTCACAGGATCTTTTACAATCCTAGGGTTGTGGGATGTTTACACAGAAATACACCGATGTGTACACTGATTTGGAAGCGAAGTCTACCTACAGGCAGAATGGGCAATCACTTAATGCTACTCAATTGGACAACTTTCTAACCCAGTTTTCCTAATATTTCTGTCAACATTTCCCTTCCCCACTTCCTGTCAAAAGCCTGGTAGTTTATTTTTAGAGTCTTGGGGACTGTATTAGTTAAAATTAGGTTTGGCTGTTGGTCATGGTAAAATGAAATGACAGAGGATTAAAGGAGGTGGAAATTTTGCTCTCTGTCCCTCATATGAACATTTCATAGTATGATGTACAGAGCTGGTGTGGTGGCATTGCACCTTGGAGCCCTCAAGGCTCTCAGCCCTGTCTATTTTGGAGTTCTAACAAACGTGGCTCCATATTCGAGATCAACGCCCACTCTGAGACGGAGCTCCAGCTGTCACATTCATGCTCTACATAGCAGGATGGAGAAGGGATGAAGAAGCTGCCTCTACTGGAAATTCTCAGGAACTGCAGCATGGCACTTTACTCCCATGCCGTTGTCAGTAGCCGCACCTAGCTGCAAGAGAGGCTTGGACATGTTGTGTTTATCTGGGTGATCAGGTGGCAAGATAAATATTCAGTTACTGTAGGAAAAGAGGAAAATGGCTTTTGGGGAAAAACTAGCAGTTTCTATGATAAGAACTTGTTGGAATTCCAGGAACCAGTTATTAGAATATAACCCGGGCGGGGGGTGGGGAGTGCCTAGCTCAGCCATTGGGTTTCCTAGCTCAGTACTTTTGTGGGGATTGGTGCCACTATGAAAGTGCACACCTTATGCGATTGGGGCATATGCCCAGGGACAGGCAGAGAGGGCAGCTAAGAAGAGGCTGCCCAGAGGACAAGAGGCAGGACCTCAGACCAGCATTTCCTTCCTCATGGTGTTAGCTGGGGCTGGGGTACATGACCACATCCCTCTCAGCATCAGGGAAGATGACTATGGAAATAAGTGTAAATCATGAATGCTGTGAGAGGTCTTACAGGACTAATGAAGTTCACAACAGGAGAGAACTGGCATCTTGAGCAACCGTTAGGTGCCAGGCACTAAGCTGGAGGTTTTATATACCATCTATTATTTAACTCTCACAATGCCTTATCATTTTCCATTATCATGCCATTGTACAAATGTGGAGACAGGTTCATGACTGTAAATGACCGAACCATATAGCTAATACATAGAAAGAAGCTTTATCCATCGAGCTCTCTCAGTACAAAACAAGACTAGATTAGAGAGGTTCAAGGTCTTAAACATATACATTCTTGTATCAACTTTTTATAAAGTGAATTACATAAAACACAGGGAGCTAGATGACTATTATTTAAAAGCTGTGAATACTTTCATGAAACAAAGATTTGTTTAGTAAAAACAATGACCTCCCTAATTTATTGTAGAAATCCAGATACCAGGTTGAATAGGTCAGCTTGAAGTAGAGCAAGCTCCTTTTCTACTTGCTTATCTAAATATGCTTTGATTATGAGGTTTACTTTTGCAATGACCTGACTGTGATTTTGTTAATAATATTGCAAATGTTTATGTGATTTGGTTAATGCTAATTTTTTGATAGAATGAAAATATGAAGGATGATGACCTCTCCATGAAACAAAATGAAAATGACCTATCACAAATAAGTCTCCGCCAACCTGCTGATGGGCCTCTCAAGCAGATACAATAGACAGAGTAAATTAAATTATACTGTTGTGACTCAAAAAAGTAGATTAAAACACTGTGGGGAAAACTGAGTGACTGATTAATATGTAATTTACATGTTAACTCAAAAATATTTGCAGTCAGAATGAAAGCAAGACTTTTAAAATGGGTCAGGCAACACAATTCATGCTTCATCCAAAGACTGTGTTTTTAATGAGAGTTGTTGCTAACAGAAACTTCTTTTTACATATATACATATAGAGTAATTATTTCCCCTCAGTACATTTATAAAGGGAAACTATTATGAAATACCCTTAAATTAAATAAAATGACTTCAGTTTGGTGCATGTGAATTTTTGGAATCCCTTTGTGGTGAAATGCACTTATGATATCTCTCCTGCCTGCTAAAGGTACAACTATGCAATGTCCCTACAACTGCTGGGCTTGGATGATGGCATTGAGCCCAGTGATAGGAATGCTGTCCTGATGAGAGGGGCATACTTGTCCTTTCTGTATCTGCACCACCTTTGAATCTGAGAACTGCAGGTATGTGGAAAGCAGGCATCAGAAATGTCTGGTTGTCTAGAAAAGGGGCTTTTCTGCTATTTCAATAGCAAATACCATTTGATGCTTTTGCCTTTTTTTTTGAGACAGAGTCTTACTCTGTCACCAGGCTGGAGTGCAGTGGTGCCATCTCAGCTAACTGCAACCTCCTCCTCCCAGGGTCAAGTGATTCTCCTGCCTCAGCCTCCTGAGTAGCTGGGACTACAGCCGTAGGCCACTATGCCCAGCTAATTTTTGTATTTTTACTAGAGACGGGATTTCACCATGTTGGCCAGGATGGTCTCAATCTCTTGACCTTGTAATCCACCCACCACGGCTTCCCAAAGTGCTGGGATTACAGGCTGAGCCACTGCACCCGGCCTCTTTTTTTTTTGTAACATGGAATCAGCCTCTTTCCAGGGTGGTGTGTCCCTTTCTCCACAGTAGGGTTGACCTGCCATCAAGTTGTATTCTACAGGGTGAACTAGGCACAGGGCGGGTCCTGATTCTGTTCTTTCTTTGTTTCAAGCATCTGCTTAGGAATTTTGAATTAACAATCAACACTTTGGGTCTTACCTTGGTTTCAGGGAACCTGGTCCCCACCATGGAAGATTATTCCTGGGCAAATATGGCAAAAGGAGTTCTGGGCACATCACAGGGCCTGGCCGCTCACCACTACATCCACAAGATGCCTACAGAGCACAAGGTGAGGTGTCGTGCTGAGATTTTCTCTTCCTTGATTATCCTACCTCCCAAAACCACCCTCTAGATAAGACCTGGAATGAGTTAACATGAGGGAGTAACAGATGGGGGGTTCTTAGGGAAGAGACTTTTTAATCCCAAGAAAATACAAGGTCTGCTTAAGAGTAAGTCACAGGTGGAGAGTGCCCTCAAGCAGCCCTGGAGGCCACACTGGGAAGGAAGAACTAGAGTTTGAGACGCCTTTCTGTTACTCTGACCTGAGAACTTGACATCCTTACAGAGAAGCTCTTAGAAACCCCTCCTTGACATTGCTATATGTATCTTGTTTGCCTCTTTTCTGTTTTCCAAGACTTAAAAGAAAAAAAAAAAAGACTCAAAACAGAGGTAGAAAAAAATTTCAAAGAGCTGAACAATTAAAAAAAAAATTTATCCTTCTAAAAACCTGCTTGCCCCTTAGTGCTTTTGGTGTTTCTGGAACATATTTTTCTATAAAGTCTATAAAATGCCAATCCTGGCCTGGCGTGGTGGCTCATGCCTATAATCCCAGCACTTTGGGAGGCTGAAACAGGAGGATCACAAGGTCAGGAGTTTGAGACCAGCCTGGCCAACATGGTGAAACCCTGTCTCTACTAAAAATACAAAAATTAGCCGGGCAAGGTGGTGGCACATGCCTGTAGTCCCAGCTACTCCGAAGGCTGAGGCAGGAGAATTGCTTGAATCCAGGAGGTAAAGGTTGCAGTGAGCTGAGGTTGTGCCACTGCACTCCAGCCTGGGCAACAGAGCAAGACTCTGTCTCAAAAAATATATATAAATAAATAAAAATTAAAAGTTCAATCCTACCTAACAAAATGCCAATAATCAAAATTCACATTAACTCCCTTTCTTTGGGAATAAAGTTGAGAATGCTTACATTTTGTTGGACTTTTGTAGATACTCTTGTAATATTTTAATCTCAATCTCTAGAGAGTTTATTCCTGAAGATAGAGTTTAATGTAAATTTTATCTTCTTAAAAATCCTAGATTGAAAAAATCGATTTAGGTACCAAACAAATGCTATTCTAACTAGTGTGACCTCTGACTTATGCTTGCTGTGTAAGAGTGAAATCTTACTGTTAATTGTTGTTCATATGCACACAGTCTAGAACAGCACTGACCAGCAGAAATGTAATGCAAGCCACATATATGATTTACAATTTTCTAGTAGCTACATTTTAAAAAGTATAAAGAAACATGAAATTTTAAATAATATAATTGTTTAGCCCAATGTCTGTAAGATACTATCATTGCTACATATCAATATTAACAAATCATTAAGCAATTGTACATTTTTGTATTGTCTTTAAGATCTGGTATATATTTTATATACAGATAGCACATTTTAACTCAGACAAGCCACATTTAAAGGGCTTAACAGCCACATGTGGCTAGAGGCCACGTTTAGTGAACAGTTCAGCTCCAGATATTGGGAAATATTTTCTTATTTTCCCAACTCAGTCACTCAGAGTCTTACCTTCACTCAATCTGCGGGACACACACAGACTTCCTCTTATCTTCCTTTAGCCCTCTGCCCTCCTCCCTGGGTCCTAGCTCATCAAGCCCAATTATTTTGGCCCGCAGTAGAGCTAGAGAGGAGAATTAAGACACTTGGAATACAAACATGCTGTAAAACAAATCCATCTTTCTTTTACTAATATTGATCCAGCCACAGCTGTGGCATGTTATTATGCTAATGGATATTTTTGAAAATGTTCTTACCAAAGAGCCCTTTCTCAGTCTCTCCGTTCTGGGTTTGGGTAGGAGAGAGAAACAAAGGAGGAGAGGATAGGCAAATACTGTCCTGCTGTATTCTTTGTAGAAGGAACTTCTTGGGGAAATACATTGATTGTTATTATTATTTATTTATTTATTTTGAGATAGAGTCTAACTCTGTTGCCCAGGCTGGAGTACAGTGTCATAATCTCGGCTCACTGCAACCTCTGCCTCCTGGGTTCAAGTGATTCTCCTGCCTCAGCCTCCTGAATAGCTGGGATTACAGGTGTGTGCCAGCACACCCAGCTAATTTGTTTGTATTTTTAGTAGAGACAGGGTTTCACTGTGTTAGCCAAGATGGTCTCAGTCTCCTGACCTTGTGATCTGCCTGCTTCGGCCTCCCAAAGTGCTGGGATTACAGGCTTGAGCCACTGGGCTTGGCCCTATTTATTTATTTATCGAGATGAAGTTTCTCTCTTGTCACCCAGACTGGAGTGCAGTGGTGCAATGACGGCTCACAGCAACCTCTGTCTCCTGGGTTCAAGCAATTCTCCTGCCTCAGCCTCCCGAGTAGCTGGGATTACAGCTGTGCGCCACCACACCCAGCTAATTTTTGTATTTTTAGTAGAAGCAGGGTTTCATCATGTTGGCCAGGTTTGTCTCAAACTCCTAACCTCAGGTGATCCACCTGCCTGGGCCTCCCAGAGTGCTGGGATTACAGGCATGAGCCACCACACTCGGCCTTAATGCAATATTTCTTTCCTATGCTTTCATAACTGATAAGAATAACAGTGCTTATTTTTGTTCTTAAAAGTTCCTAGCTGCTATTATTTTAGTGTGAGACACTCAAGGAAGTGGCCTTCTGTCGGTCTTTAATAGGACCATGTGGTTTAGCTAACCCCGTGGGTGTGGCCTTGTCAGTATTTACACCAGGATATCCAGCTCTGGACTGTGTGATTCATCCCATGGAGGGCACGGGAGGCACAGATATTACTCTGTTGGGTTGAATTCACCTGGCCCAGGGCTGAGGCTGCTGGGAGCAAACCTCTGGGCTTACCAGATCTCAGGAAAGCTCCTAAAATGGAGACCCCTTTCCTGGGCCCAGTGAGTTTGATCCCATGATGAAAGTCTTGGACTAGTAATCAAGGAATGTTTACTCAACAACAATGCCAGAAAAAAAAGGTATCTACCATCTGTCTTGGACACTTTGTCACTCTGTGAGCCTACTTAAAGGCATGTGGCAGAGAGGAAAGGGCCCCAGAATGAGAGGTAGCAGCCTTTACCTTGCTGTTGACCTTGAGTGTGTCTTCTCAGGCATGGAGGCCGGATACCCTGTGACATGTTCAGGATCTGCCAGGACTTGACATGCTGGTAGCAGAGGCTGTTGTGAGGAAGTGGTAGGAGATGAGGCGGCAGAAAAGTGGGCCCGATTGTGAAGGGTTAGACTCTCCTTAGGAAGGGAAACTAATTCCAGGGTTGATGGGGCAACAGAGAATTTTTTTTCTCTTGAGACAGAGTCAAAGTACTGGGATTATAGGCATGAGACATCGTGCCCAGCCCATTCTTTTAAATGGGAGAATGGCTCACTTCATTGGCTTGTAAATTTCCAGAGGATCTTTGTCTGTATATAATCACATTTATTCCCTTGCTTGAAGTCCTTCGTGAGTTTCCTGTTTGTCGCAAGACAAAGTCCAGGCTCCCTGGTGAAGCAGACAATGTTGGCCACAATCTGGCTGCTGCTAACCTCTCAGACCTCATTTCTCTCCCCTGTCCCTATATGTCCGTCCTTAGGGAGCTGTGCCTAGATCTCCCCTCAATGGGCAGAGCTATCCATACCTCTGGGCTCGCCTGTCCCATCTCCTCTTTAATTGGTAAATGTGTACTCTTATCCAGAGTCTGCTCAAATATCACCTCTCTGGGAAGCCGCCCTTGACATCTCCATGCAGACCTAAGTGCTCCTTGCCATGACTTATCTACTTCCCCTATAGCCCTGAGCACATTGCTGTGCTTGACTGTTGGCCCGTTTGTTCCCACAGGCTGTGAGCCTATTGCTCATTCATTCATTCACTCATTCCGCAAACATTCTGACCAGTAAACATAACCAGGCACTGTTCCAAGCACTGGGGATTCAGCAATCAATAAAAAGGGCACGAATTCTGCCATCATGAGACTTTTTTCTTGAAGAAATACAGACATTAAATAAATAAGTAAGTAACATATATAGACTATTCAATGATTTGGCATCAGAGCTTCCACAGACTTCCAGAACATATCTGGATGTATTTGAAAGGTACAACTGGCATGATTTCCAGATAGAGAAGTCAAGTTTGATTCCAAAGCTTTGGCCCAACCATTTGGAAGTTTAGAGTTGCCATCAACTGAGATTTGGTTGAAGCAGATTTGTTGGGAAGATCCGGATCTCAGTACAAGACATGAAAAGTTTGAGATGCTTAACGATGTTCAGGTGGCAAAAGGTGGTAGAGAGTTGGATATATATCTTTCACATTGTAGGTATCAAATGTTCATTTGTTAAAAGAAAATCCCTGCCTAGAATGGTTGTGAGGTACAAAAAGAATGGTTGTGAGGTACAAAAAGACCATGTACATGAAGGTGCTTTGCGAAGTATATCATGCTGTTCAAACGCAGAACAATTAGCTGTAATAAGAATAATATACGCTACAGACTAGAAAGCAGAGCAGAAAATATATTTGATTTTCTTTTTAAAAGATTGTAGCCAATAGGTTGAGTCATTTACCTAACACATTTTGATGGGATTCTTAGGCTAAACTATTATTATCCAAAATTAATGCAAGATGATTTAGAAAAAGGAAAACTAGTCAAAGAAGTATTGTCTGTATTGCCAAAAGGCCTAAAATTCACATTAACAAGTGATGGCAGAAGCCACTATGGTCAAAGGAATGACAGGCCACCAATTTTTCTATAGTTACAATATTCGGCAAATAGTTATCTTGGCATCAGTTAATTTTCAAACTAAAAACATATGAATCATTGCAAAGGTCATATTATTTCTTACCCCAGCAGATAATTATTGCCCTCTTCCTTCTGCCACTCCTTCAAACATAATATTGAAGGATCAACTCTCTAGACCACAAAACCATTAGAGGGAGGGTCTTCCACATGACTGTGGAAAAAATGAAAATAAACAGGAAATAAAGAAACATTATAGTAACTGAGCCATAACCCTGCATGAAGCAATTTGGTCATCTGGTCTTTAAAGTGCATCCCCTGTGGCAT